GCGCACGCACGCGCGCGCGCACACGCGCGCGCACGCACGCGCACGCGCGCGCACGCACATGCACGCGCAGGCGCGCGCGCACGCACGCGCACGCGCCCGCGCGCACCCACGCGCACAAGCACGCGCGCATGCAATCAGTGACTCACACGCGCATCTACACACATACGAAAACACACACAACACAATCGCACACCTTCTTGCGCGCCCTGGCGAGACCGGGGCACGGACTCGCGAATTATCCCGCGTGCATGAGGGGGGGGGCAAAGCAAACGCACGCAAACGCACAAACGCACGCAAATGCAAACGCACATTAACCCGCACAAGCACGGACAAACGCGCAAACACACGCACGCACGCGCGCACGCGCGCAACCGCGCGCGCGCGCCCACGCCCGCCCGCCCGCGCGCACACACGCACACGCCCAGCGGCGTGTGCTGTGATGTGATGTGATGCGATGTGTTGTGCTGTGTCGTGCTGTGTTGTGATGTGCTGCGCTGGCCTCGCGCGCGCGCAGTCTCGTTGTGTCGTGGGGCGATGTGGCGCGCATTGCCTGCGTGGCCGTTTCTGGAAGCTTTCGGGTCTCCCGGACACGCTCGCGCACGCTCGCGCGTGGCGCGGCTTTGCTGCGTTGCGCTGCGTCGTGCTGTGCTGCGGCCGTGGTCGTCTGAGCACTGCCTCGCGAGGCGTGCTTGCGCCTCTCTCCCCCCGCTCCCGGGCGCGGCCCCAGGGGCTTCGCTCGAGTGTGCTGGCGCGGATGTGGCCTGCGGCTCGTCGGGTGCGTTTCTCGACTTCTTGCGTGGCCCTCTCCGCCCCCCCCTCCCCCTTCGCGCGTGCGCGCGAGTGGCTCGAGGAACGCTCTCTCGCCTGCCCGCGTTCCCGCGCGCTGCCGTGAGCCTTGCGCGGGGTCGCGTGGTGTAGGCGCCGCTTCATCGCGCCGCCCGGAACTGACTGGCGCCCTTCCTCGCCGAGACGGCGCGCGCGCGGCGCGAGGTGCATGCGGCGCTGAGCTTGCAGCGCCGTGGTTGTGATGCGACGCGCGTGTTCGGCGCGGGCTGGGTCCGCCAGCGCAGGGGCGGGGCGTGTCCTGGCGGCTGGGCGCATCTAGAGCAGCGCGCGGGGCGTGTATCTCGGCGTTGGGCGGCTGCGCGGCGGGCCGTGCCCCGCCCGCGTGCCGCCCCTCATCCGCCGCCGCCCGCGTTGCTCGCCTTGGCGCGTGGCCCAGCTTGAGGCGGCGCGCGGACGCGGCGCCCCGCTCATGGCGGGGGGCGAACGAAAGCAAGCATGCACGCGCGTAAACGCACGCGCGCACGCGCGCGCGCACGCGCGCGCACGCACGCGCGCGCACGCACGTGCAAGCGCGCGCAAACGTGCACGCGCGCGCACGTGCACGCGCGCGCGCGCACCCGCGTGCGCGCATCCGCGCGCGCGCGCACACGCACACACGCACGCGCACATTCACGCAAACACGCGTGCATGTACGCACAAACAACGCGCGCACGCATGCACGCAATCACGCACGCGCGCGCATGCACAGTCACACACGCACGCGCACACACATGCACTCGCGCACTTCTACGTCAGCGGCGCAGGGGATCCTCGGGCGCGGGCAGCTGATGGAAGTGCTAATTGCCATCGAGCGCAGCCGAAAGCGCATAGAAGGAAACGTCAGTCACTGACGTGCAGGGATTGGTGGTGGGTGGGGAGGACTGTAACCCAGCGAACGTGCAGCGGCCAGAAAACCGAGGGGCACGTCCGAGCGAGCTCGACCCAAGGTGGACTGAAACTCGAGCAGTCTGGTGCTATTTGCCACGGAACCATCGAGCTTGCAATGATAGGCAGCGGAAAGCGCTTGTGAGGCTGCCAGACCAGCTCGGCAAAAACGCACACGTGCACACGCGCGCGCACAAACGCATGCACAAACACACACGCACGCACAAAAACACACAAATGCACGCACGAACACACACACAAACACGCAACCACACACAGACACAGACACACAGGCACATACACAGACACAGACACAGACACAGACACAGAGACAGACACAGACACACAGACATACACAGACACAGACACAGACACAGACGCAGACGCAGACACAGACACAGACACAGACACAGACACAGACACAGACACAGACACAGACACAGACACAGACACAGGCACAGACACACACACACGCACACGCACACGCACGCGCACACGCACACGCACGCGCACCACGCACACGCACACGCACACGCACACGCACACCGCACGCGCACACGCACACACACACGCACACGCACACGCACACGCACACGCACACGCACACACGCACACGCGCACGCGCACGCGCGCGCGCGCGCGCACGCGCACGCACGCGCACGCACGCGCACGCGCACACGCACGCACGCACGCACGCGCACGCGCACGCGCACGCACGCACGCACGCACGCACGCACGCACGCACGCACGCACGCACGCACGCACGCACGCACGCACGCACGCACGCACGCACGCACGCACGCACGCACGCACGCACGCACGCACGCACGCACGCACGCACGCACGCACGCACGCACGCACGCACGCACGCACACAGACAGACAGACAGACAGACAGACAGACAGACATACAGACATACAGACAGACAGACAGACACACACACACACACACACGCACGCACACACATAAATATATGCACACGCACGCGCGCACGCACACGCACGCGCACGCGCACGCGCACACGCACACGCAAGCGCACACGCATACGCACGCACACGCGCGCGCACGCACGCGCACGCGCGGACGCACACGCGCACGCGCACACACACGCACACACAATAACCACCGACACCAGCTCCCACCACCAGCACGTCAGCTCCTCGTCCCACCAATGTGCGGAGAGCAACGAACGGCCAAGCGTCACCACCGGCACAGGGCACATATCGTCGTGTACCCAGTGGCCGACCACAGGCAAGCCCCCGCGCAACAGTTCACGGTTGTTACACGGCACCCTGGCGGCGACCGTGAGTCGGGCCTCGTCGCTTGCTTCGCTGCGCTGCGCCAGCGAGTGCGTCCACGAACAGTCAGCTCCGGTGCTTGACAGGTTCGTTCCACCGTGCACGAGTGGTTTGGGACGACTTGCAGCAGGTCTTTGGGCCTGCCGCCTCCCTTGGGGCGTTTCTCCAAGACAGTCTTCAAGCCCTCCTTGCTGCCTGGCGCGCGGCGCGCCAGTGCTGGCGTGCCTCCTCCCTCTTTCTTGCAGGCTTCGTGAACTGTTGGCCCAAATTCTGTTGCCGTCCTCATGGGCCGCTGCGGGGGCTGCCCCAATGCGGCGCCGCTATTGCCAGGGCGCCGTATCACGCATGCTCAAGCGTGTGTGCAGCCAGCGTCTCTCTGCATGCGGGCGTGCAGACGGAGGGTTCCACGCTCTGATCGATGCGTTTCGGCCCCTTTTTAACAGTCGGGGCCCCCGTGGACCGCGTCAGGGGGGAGGGGGTCCCCCCAACGCTGCTCGCGCAGCGGCACCTCCCACCACATGAGGTTGGCGCGGAGGGCGCTTGCAGCACTCGCGCCAGAGGGACTTCGGCTCGTCGAAGTGTTGCGGTCTCCCTCTCCCTCTCCCTCTCTCGCCCTCTCTCTCTCTCTCTCTTCATATACCTCTCTCTCTCTCTCCCTCTCCCTCTCTCCCTTTTTTTTTTTTTTTTTTTTTTTTTTTTTTTTTTTTTTTTTTTTTTTTTTCTCTCTCTCTCTCTCTCACTCTCTCTCTTTCTCTTTCTCTCCAACATATCACGCCGATCGCGGAGGCTTTCAAACGCCACGCAGACGAAGTCGCCACGGCCAGTGCGCGCTTGCGTAGCTTATCACACGGCTTTTCCGGCGCAGCGAAATTGCGACCCAAATTCGCTGCCGTCCTCCACAGCACGGCTGTCTCGATATACGCTGGTGCCACCAGACGCTCCCCCTGCCAGACAAAAGAGTTGGTTACTCAACGTTTGAATTTAGCAAGATGATACCCAATTCTCTTACCATTGGCCAAGGCGGCCACGAGCCACCAGGTTCACAAGGCGGCCAGACGACAACCCGAGGGTGATTGCGAAACGGTCCTCGTCGCTAGCATCAATGCGTTGCACCAGCGGGCCAATCACCCTGCTCAGTCCTTCCAGCACGTCCAGGAACAGTCAGCCCCGCTGCTTGACAGATTTCACCGAGCACGAGCTGATTCCGACGGCCTCCAGTAGGCCTTTCGTCCTGCCGCTTCTGTTTGGGCGTCCCACCAAGGTGTCCTCCAGGCATTCCTTGCTGTTCAACGCGCGGCTCACCAGTGCTGACGTCCTTTTCCTCCCAGTGGGTTCTGTGAAGTGCTGGCGCCTGCTCCGTTGTCCTTTTTGGGGCCCAGGGTGGCGCCGCCACTGCCTGGGCGCCGTACCGCGCAAGCCAAAGCGTGTGTACAGCTGGCGTCTCTCTGTCCGCGGGCGTGCAGGAAGGGTGAATTTCACCCTTCTCACCACATCCCGTCGTTTTGTTTTCCAGTCGGGGTCCCCGCAAACTGCGCCAGGGGGAGGGTCGTCTCCCCACCCCCGCTTTTCATCGGGAGCGGAAAAGAGGGGGGGGATGATTAGGGGGGTGGATTTCATGGCGCGGGCCATGATATTTCCTCAGATTTCATGGCGCCTCTTCTTATTTCATTACGTCCCTGGTCCCCCCGCTGGGCCGCGCACGTGCCGCCGGTCATGATTTGCACCCCCCCCTCTTGGACACCCCCCTCTAGGCCGTTCCCGATTTCAAGCAGCACCTCACGCCTTTCGAGGCGGGCCCGGCGGGCGCTTGCACCCGCGGGCCTGGACAGACCCCCTGTTCAAAATGGTGCGCTCTCTCTCCTCTCTCTCTCTCTGTCTCTCCCTCTCCATCCCCCTCTCCCCCTCTCCCTTTCTCCCTCTCTCTCCCTCTCTCTCCCTCCCTCTCTCCCCCTCCCTCTCGCTCCCTCCCTCTCGTGGGGAGGGGCGCGCCAGGCGCGAGCGGCCAGACCCCGCTGATGTGGGCAGTCTGTGGCGGCCACGTCGACGTCGCAGAGGTGCGCGGGTCGGCCCAATGCTTTGGGCCGAGAGGAAGAGCAAGACATTGTTGCTCGAGTCCGAAGTGGACGATGAAGGTGGTGGAGGAGGGAGGCGGAGGAGGAGGAGGAGGAGGATCATGATGATGATGAAGGAGGAGGAGGACGAGGAGGAGGAGGAGGAGAAACCGAATCGAGGCGGCATTTTTTCTTTTCTTTGGGCTTCGGGGGGCCGCTTGGGTTCCTGGGTTTGTGAACGCAAGTCCGGGCTGAACAGCGGGTCGTCTTGGGAATGGTGTCAGCATGAGGGGCCTTGGTCACGAAAAAACATGTGACGTCAGAGGTCTGGGAAGAGGGGACACGATGACACCAAAGAGTTTTCAATTTGTGATTGCAGAGTTTTTTTCAACCTGGCGCTTGGACTTCTCGAGTAGCTTCTACATTCAAATCTCGGGTGGTTTGTGCTAGGGGATAAGGAAGTGTTTCACTATTCTCGCCCTTTTTAGCCCTCCTGGGGGGAGCCCTCGCCCCCAAACGAGTAGATCCGCTTCGAACTCCTGGTCAGAGCGCGCTCGGGAAGAGGCCTCGGGGTCGCTTATGCGGAGGAGGAGGATGAGAAGGAGGAGGAGGAGGAAGAGGAGGAGAAGGCGGATGCGGAGGAGGAGAGAGAGGAGGAGAGAGAGGAGGATGGATGAGGAGAGGAAGAGGGTGGAGCAAGAGGGATGATAATGATGAAGGAGGCGGAGGAGGAGGAAGAGGAGAAGCAGGAGGCGGAGGTGGAGGAGGAGGAGGAGGAGAAACCAGGAGGAGGACGTGGAAAATGTGGAGGGGTAGGAGGAGGAGTAGGAGGAGTAGGAATTGAAGTACGAGTAGGAGTCAGCTCGATCGAGTCAAGCATGGCATGCCCATTCCCACCCGCCCTCCCCTAAAGAAGCATTGCTGGCACCGCCAGGGGCCAAACGACCAATTAACGTCGTAAAGGTGGCATTATTCTGTCATCCGTATTATTCGTAGTATTGCTATAGCTGTTCGTATTTTCATTATTATTCGTAGTTGCAGTGGTGGTAGTAGTAGTAGTAGTAGTGGTATTACGATTGGCAGTAGTAGTAGTAGTAGTAGTAGTAGTAGTAGTAGCAGCAGTAGCAGCAGCAGCAGCAGCAGCAGCAGCAGCAGCAGCAGCAGTAGTAGTAGTAGTAGTAGTAGTAGTAGTAGTAGTAGTCGTAGTAGTAGTAGTGGTGGTAGTAGTAGTTGTAGTAGTAGGAGTAGTAGTAGTAGTAGTAGTAGTAGTAGTAGTAGTAGTGTAGTAGTAGTAGTAGTAGTAGTAGTAGTAGTAGTAGTAGTAGTAGTAGTAGTAGTAGGTAGTAGTAGTAGTAGTAGTCAGTAGTAGTAGTAGTAGTAGTAGTAGTTAGTAGTAGTAGTATAGCAGTAGTAGTAGTAGTAGTCGTAGTAGTATAGTAGTTAGTAGTAGTAGTAGTAGTAGAAGTAGTAAGTAATCGTAGTAGTATAGTCGTGTAGTAGTCGTCGTAGTAGTAGTAGTAGTTAGTAGTAGTAGTAGTAGTAAGTAGTAGTAAGTAGAAGTGTAGTAGTAGTAGTAGTAGTAGTAGTCGTAGTAGTAGTGTACGTAGTAGTAGCAGTAGTAGTAGTAGTAGTAGTAGTAGTAGTAGTAGTAGTAGTAGTAGTAGTAGTGGTATTAGTAGTAGTAGTAGTAGTAGTAGTAGTAGTAGTAGTAGTAGTAGTAGTAGTAGTAGTAGTAGTAGTAGTAGTAGTAGTAGTAGTAGTAGTAGTAGTAGTAGTAGTAGTAGTAGTAGTAGTAGTAGTAGTAGTAGTAGTAGTAGTAGTAGTAGTAGTAGTAGTAGTAGTAGTAGTAGTAGTAGTAGTAGTAGTAGATGATGTGTAAGGCTGAAGAAGGGCCTCCTGGAGGCTTCGGAGGTCGTGGACGCGCACCTGGGACACAAGCGTGCGTGGAAGGAGGAGTGCCAGGGCAACGCCATGGCGCAGGAGGCCTACCGACGGATGGGCGACTACACGGACCAGCTCTACCGTGGCAAGGGCTTTACGTTCAACATGTGCTACAAGTGCTCGGCCAACAAGACCTGGGACAATCCCAAGGGATGCTGCTCGATGATCCGTTCGGATCGCTGGACGCAACTGCTCACCTGCGCGCAGGAGGCGGCGGGGGGGTCGGGCCAGCGCTGGTGCTGCCATTGTGGCGCGCGCTACGCGACCTCCTACGGCGTCTGCGTCGAGATGATAGAGGAAGAGCTGAGCCCGCCCCGCGCGTGCTACATGCGCGCGGACTTCCCTCAGGAGGACATTCGCGACTTGAAGACCCTGCTGCGTTACGACGAGCTCAAGAAGGATGGGGTAGCGGTGCTCAGCGCTGTGGACCTCCTGAAGCACCTGCCCGAGGTCGAGCCGCTGGCGGTGGGCGCCGTCTTTAAGCGCTACGCTCCGCGGCGTCCGCAGTGGGAGGGCCACTACGTGCTAATGGGCGGGCTCTCCTGGGGCGATCTGCCTGAGTTCCAGTGGTCCGACTTGTGCTCGCAGGTTGCCTGGGGGCTGAACGATCCAGAGTGGGTGGGCTACGGCGAGAACCGGCGGAAGAAGGCCAAGAGGGAGCGCCTGGCGACCGCGCGCGCGGAACTGGCGGCCTATGAGCGCCGCCACAACCTCCGGGAGGGCAGCCTCGCGGGCGGCGGGGGTGGTGCCGGGGTCGCCCCGCGTGCCGCTCCCGTCCGCGCCGCCAGCGCGCCCCCCGCTGGCTCGGCCCGCGGCAGCCAGGGCCCGCCACCGCCGCCTGCTGGGGCCCCGCAGGCGGCCATCGTGGCCCTGCCGCCGCCGCCGCTGACAGCGCCCCCTGCGGTGCCGCCGCCGCCGGCTGGCCCGCTCCCGCAGCAGATCCCCAGTGTCGCCGCCCTGAACGTGGCCCTCGGTGAGGATCTCGAGCGCCAGATCTTTGGGCCCCCAGGGCAGGCTGGCGGCAGTGGTGACCTCGGGGGAGAGGTGCAAGCGTTGCCGTCGCAGGTCTTCGCAGCCATTGCGCAAGGAACAGGCCAGTCCGCCTGGGCGCTGAGACTCTGCAGGCCCCCGGCATCGTTTACTTCGAAGCCCTCGGAGGGGCTGCGTGGGCCCCCGCGTTGTGATCCCGAGCCTGCCACTCTCAATGATGCTGAGCCTGTGTGCTCGCTTGCGCTCCAGCTTTAGCAGCGCCGCCGTGCCAGCTTGCGCGGGTGCGCCCGCAGTGGTGCCCCCCCTCGCGCCGCGGGCCCTGTTGCTTAGTCCTTCGCTCTTCGCGCGGTCAACTGTGCGCCTAGCCATTTTGGCTTGCCATCCTGGCCTCTTCTCGCGCCTACCTGCGCTAGTTGGCCTCGCTGGCGGTGCTGGGGTCGCCCCGTGTGCTGCTGTGCCGCCGATGTGCCCGTGTGCTGCTGTGCCGCCGATGTGCGCCTAGCCATTTTGGCTTGCCATCCTGGCCTCTTCTCGCGCCTACTTGCGCTCGTTGGCCTCGATGGCGGTGCTGGGGTCGCCCTGTGTGCTGCTGTGCCGCCGCTGTCGCTTTACTATGGGCCGTAGGGGCCAGCTGCCCTCGGATAAGCGCCCGCCGCTGCGCGCGCGTCAGACCCGCCATTTCACCCAGAAGAGGTGCTCGCTACATACTGGAAATGAGGCAGCTACAAGGACGCTCATCCCAAGGCGGTTGAGCCGTGGTGATGTGGTGCACGAGACCGAGTAGTAGTAGTAGTAGTCGTAGTAGTGGCAGCAGCAGCAGCAGCAGCAGCAGCAGCAGCAGCAGCAGTAGTAGTAGTAGTAGTAGTAGTAGTAGTAGTAGTAGTAGTAGTAGTGGTAGTAGTAGTAGTAGTAGTAGTAGTAGTAGTAGTAGTAGTAGTATTCGTAGTAGTGGTAGTAGTAGTAGTAGTAGTAGTAGTAGTAGTAGTGGTAGTAGTAGTGGTAGTGCTCGTCGTAGTAGTCGCAGTCGAAAGTCGCAGTAGTAGTAGTAGTAGTAGTAGTAGTAGTAGTAGTAGTCGTAGTAGTCGTAGTAATAGTAGCAGTCGTGGTAGTAGTGGTAGTAGTAGTAGTAGTAGTAGCAGTAGTAGTAGTATTCGTAGCAGTAGCAATAGCACTATTAGTAGAAGTAGTAGTAGTAGTCGTCGTGGTTGTAGTCGTAGTAGTAGTAGGAGCAGTACTAGTAGTTCCAGCAGCTCTATTACTAGTCGTAGTATGATTTTTTCCCCACATCCAAAGTGGGGTTCTTGTTTTCTCTGGACACCCCGCGCAGGAACAGGAACACACACACACCCACTCACACTCACTCACACTCTCTCATCATCAACCTCGTCAGCATCATCGATGATGCTCTCTCACATGCTTAGTCACTCACATACTCATCATCATCATCGCTCGCACTCTCTCACACGCTCACGGACATCATCATCATCATCATCGGCATCGGCATCATCCTCATTCAGACATCATCATCGCCACCACCACTCACAATCAATCATCATCCTCTTCACCACTCATCTTCACCACCACTCATCATCCTCATCCTCATCATCGTTGAGTAAATTGTGAGGAAGTCTCAGGCGGGAGCCCCCTCCCTATGGGGCCCGCAGATCCTGTTGGTAATCCGAGCGGGCCATCGGAATCCTGTAACTGTCGTCACGCTTGAGCTCCCCAGGCCTGAAAATGGAGGAAGTCTCAGGCGGGAGCCTCGTCTGCGAGTGAATTGGGAGGAAGTCTCAGGCGGGAGCTCCCTCCCTATGGGGCCCGCAGATCATGTTGGTAATCCGAGCGGGTCATCGGAAACCTGTAACTGTCGTCACTTTTGGGCTCCTCAATCCTGAATTTGGAGGAAGTCTCAGGCGGGAGCCTCGTCTGTGAGTGAATTGGGAGGAAGGCTCAGGCGGGAGCTCCCTCCCTATGGGGCCCGCAGATCATGTTGGTAATCCGAGCGGGTCATCGGAAACCTGTAACTGTCGTCACTTTTGGGCTCCTCACGCTTGAAAATGGAGGATGTCTTAGGCGGGAGGCCTCGTCTGTCGAGTGAATTTGTGAGGATGTACTCAGGCGGGAGCTCGCCTCCCTATAACTCTATGGGGCCCGCAGATTCATTTGGTAATCCGAGAGGTCATCCGAAATTGTAACTGTCGTCACTTTTGGGCTCCTCAAGCCTGAATATGGAGGAAGTCTCAGGCGGGAGCCTCGTCTGTGAGTGAATTCAGAGGAAGGCTCAAGCGGGAGCCCCCTCCCTATGGGGCCCGCAGATCATGTTGGTAATCCGAGCGGGTCATCGGGATCCTGTAACTGTCGTCACTTTTGAGCTCCCCAGGCCTGAAAATGGAGGAAGTCTCAGGCGGGAGCCTCGTCTCTGAGTGAATTGTGAGGAAGTCTAAGGCGGGAGCTCCCTCCCTATGGGACCCGCAGATCATGTTGGTAATCCGAGCGGGTCATCGGAATCCTGTAACTGTCGTCACTTTTGGGCTCCTCAAGCCTGAATTTGGAGGAAGTCTCAGGCGGGAACCTCGTCTGTGAGTGAATTCTGAGGAAGGCTCAGGCGGGAGCCCCCTCCCTATGGGGCCCGCAGATCATGTTGGTAATCCGAGCGGGTCATCGGAAACTTGTAACTGTCGTCAATTTTGGGCTCGTCAAGCCTGAATTTGGAGAAAGTCTCAGGCGGGAGCCTCGTCTCTGAGTGAATTGGGAGGAAGTCTCAGGCGGGAGCCCCCTCCCTATGGGGCCCGCAGATCATGTTGGTAATCCGAGCGGGTCATCGGAATCTTGTAACTGTCGTCAATTTTGGGCTGCTCAAGCCTGAATATGTGCTGGCCGTGGCGGCGACGGCGCCGATGAACATCGACATGCGCGCTCATGCAACAGGAAGGGGAGGAGGTGGCGGGGCGCGGAACAAACAGGGGGGCGAGGATGGGGACAGCGTAAGGAATGGAAGGGGGGCCCGCGCCAAGGCGAGAGGAAATATACGCAGAAGAGACAGCCAGGACGCCTCACCAACCACGAGGACGACGGTGATGGTTTTTTTCCAGATTCGCCCAGAGGATTCTTATGTGGGGTTCTTCCGTCGGAGTAATTATCATTAGTAGTTGTAGTAGTAGTAGTAGTAGTAGTAGTAGTAGTAGTAGTAGTAGTAGTAGTAGTAGTAGTAGTAGTAGTAGTAGTAGTAGTAGTAGCAGTAGTAGTAGTTAGTAGTAGTAGTTGTAATAGTAGTAGTAGTAGTAATAGTAGTGGTAGTAGTAGTAGTTAGTTGTAGTAGTAGTAGTAGCTGTAGTTTTTCCATTAGTAGTAGTAGTAGTAGTAGTTGTTAGTGTAAATAGTTAGTAGTAGTTTGTCTTAGTAGTAGTAGTAGTAGTCGTAGTAGTGTAGTAGTAGTAGTTGTTAGTGTTAGTAGTTAGTAGTAGTAGTAGTTTAGTAGTAGTAGTAGTAGTTAAATAGTAGTAGTAGTAGTAGGCGTTCGTAGTATAGCAATAGTAGGTAGTTTTTTTTTTTTCGTCGTCGTTCGTCGTAGTGATAGTAGTACTGAATAGTGTTAATAAGCAGCAGCAGCAGCTTCAGCAAGCAGCATGCGTATGATGTAGTAGTCGTAGTAGTAGTAGTAGTAGTAGTAGTAGTAGTAGGTCGTAGTAGTCGTAGTTAGTAGTAGTAGTAGTATTAGTAGTAGTAGTAGTAGTAGTAGTTTAGTAGTAGTAGTGTAGTAGTAGTAGTAGTAGTAGTTTGTAGTAGTAGAAAGAAGTAAGTAGAAAAGTAGTAGTAGTAGTTGATAGTAGTAGGTAGTAGTAGTACGTAGTAGTAGTAGTAGTAGTAGTTAGTAGTAGTGGTGTTGTAGTAGTAGTTGTAGTAGTTGTAGTTGTTGTTTGTAGCAGTATCTGTAGCGAGCAGTCAGTTGCAGTTGTAGTAATAGTAGTTAGTAGTAGTAGTTAGAATATAGTAGTTAGTATAGTCGTAATAGTAGTTCGTAGTAGTAGTCGTAGTAGTAGTTGTAGTAAGTGTAGTAGTAGTAGTAGTTGTAGTAGCAAGTAGGTAGTTGTAGTAGTAGTGTAGTTTTAGTAGTAGTAGTAGTAGTAGTGTAGTAGTAGTAGTTAGTAGTTAGTATGAGTAGTAGTAGTAGTAGTAGTAGTAGTAGTAGTAGTAGTAGTAGTAGTAGTAGTAGTAGTAGTCGTCGTCGTCGTCGTCGTCGTCGTCGTCGTCGTCGTCGTCGTCGTCGTCGTCGTCGTCGTCGTCGTCGTCGTCGTCGTCGTCGTGGTAGTAGTAGTAGTAGTAATGGTCGTATTTGTAACAGTAGTAGTAGTAGTAGTAGTAGTAGTAGTAGTAGTAGTAGTAGTAGTAGTAGTAGTAGTAGTAGTAGTAGTCGTGGTCGTAGTAGCAGTAGTAGTAGTAGTAGTAGTAGTAGTAGTAGTAGTAGTAGTAGTAGTAGCAGTAGTAGTCGTAGTCGTAGTCGTAGTCGTAGTCGTAGTCGTAGTCGTAGTAGTGGTGGTGGTGGTAGTAGTAGTAGCAGTAGCAGTAGTCATAGTCGTCGTAGTCGTCTTCACAGTCGTAGTTGCACTAGTAGCAGTAGTTGTTGTTCTCGTCGTTGTCGTCGGAGGAGGAGGAGGACGAGGAGGAGGAGGGAACGGAGGAGGAGAAACAGGAGGGGGAAGAGGAGGAGGAGGAGGAGGAGGAGGAAGAGGGAAGGGAGGAGGAGGAGGAATAATTTTAGCACGAAGAAGAAACTCAATGTTAAGACAAAACATCAGAATAATAAGAATAATACTGCCAATGCATGAGTGGAGGAGGAGGAGGAGAGAGGAGGAGGAGGAGGAGAGGAGGAGGAGGAGGAGGAGGAGGAGTAGGAGGAGGAGGAGGAGGAGGGCGGAGGAGGAGGAGGAGGTGGAGGAGGAGGAGGATGAGGAGGAGGAGGGGAGGAGGAGGAGGCGAGGAGGAGAGGAGGAGGAGGAGGAGGGAGAGGAGGAGGAGGGGGCGGAGGAGGAAGGGGGGGGGAAGGGGGAGGAGGAGGAGGAGGAGAGAGGAGGAGGAGAGGAGGAGGAGGAGGAGGAGGGAGGAGGAGGAGGAGGAGGAGGAGGGGGAGGAGAACAGGGGAGGAGGAGGAGGAGGAGGAGGAGGAGGAGAAGGAGGAGGAGGAGGTGGACGAGGAAGAGGAGGAGGAGGAGGAGGAGGAGGAGGAGGAGGTGGAGGAGGAGGACAACGTGGAGGTGGAGGGGAGGGTAGGTGAGGATCAGGGAGGAAGGATGGTGTGAGGGACGAGGGAGGGTGGACCCAACGAGGCAGTCTGGGGCGAGGTGTTAGGCGGTGTGTGGCGTCGGGAACACCACTACCACGATCGCCCCCGCTACCAGCTCCACTGCTTACTGCTGCTTCCTGCTGCTGCTGCTCAGTGCTGCTCACCGCTGCTGCTACTTTTTTCCATTACTACTGCTGCTGCTGCTGCTGCTGCCACTATTGCGTCCCACTGCCGACCGACGCCCGGCGGACAGCGTGCCACCCGACGGGAGGGCGAGGGCTGCCGGCAGGGGGAGGGTCCCGATCCAGATCCTCCTCCTGCTTTGTTGCTGCTGATGCTGCCACTGCTCCTCCTCCTCCACCTCTTCCTCCTCCTTCTCGCAGTCCCCCCCTCCTATCGTTGCCCCTCACATGGCGCCCTCGGGTTGCATCTGTGCGCCGTGAGGTGGCGTCTTTACGACCCCAGGTCGCACTCGTTTGACCCCGGGTCGCGCTCGTACGCGACCGCGTCGCGTTCACTCTCCCGCTGCTGCGCATTCGTTGCTGGCCATGGTGACTCTGTCGAATTTTTGGCGCTGGTAATTCCGTGGTCGCGCACCGTCCTACCCTGGCCTTGTCCCGCTTGGGCCGGCGAACTCCCAATCGGGCTTACTCATGGCCTTGACCGGGCGTGCCCAATCCAGTTTCATGGCCGCCCGATCGGGGTGAAATGGGCCCTTGCTGTTCCCATGATCTCCCGGCAGTTACCTTTGAACGTTGGGGCGAGGAACGCTTCGCTTTTGTGAGCCGCGCGCAGAAAGTGGCCCCGGGCTTAGGTCGGGCCTGTCCCCCTACATGGGGATTTTCGACGAAAATAAACAATACCCCCAAATTAGTAAAAAGTTAGTCTAAAGATAGTCTGGGGACTATTTTTAGGGCATTTTTGGGTCATTTTTTAAAATTTTTCGAAAATCCCCCTGTAGGGGGACGCGCCCAACATAACCCCAGGCTTCCCCCCAAGAGGCGCTCGTCGACGCCGGGGCGGACCTGCAGGCGGTGGCCGCCCTCCGCCGCCGCCGCGGCCGCGGCCCTCTTCTGCTTCGGTCTCGGAGCCCCTCTGCGCCTCCTCGTCGCCGCCGCGGCCGGCTTCGGCCTCCCCCCCAAAGAAGGATAGAGAGGTGCCCATCCAAACCTCATTTTTTTTTAGTTGTATGAAGATGCGAGGAACAAAAAGGGGAGAGAGAAACGGGAGTGAGTGAGGAGGAGGGAGGAGGAGGAAGAGAGAGAGAGAGAGACAGACAGACGGAGAGAGAGAGAGAGAGAGAGAGAAAAAGAGAAAGGGATACACACATGTATGTATGTATGTATGTATGTATGAATGAATGTATGTATGTATGTATGTATGTATGTATATATATATATAAATATTATATATATAAGCAGGACGGGGGAGGTAGGAGGGAGGAGGGGGAGAGGGGAGAGAGGAGGGAGGAGGGGGAGAGAAAAGGACCGCAGCTAAAGGAACGGACGACGACGACGACGACGTGGTTTTGCCACCCACGTTCGAATTTGGGAGTATTTGCTTGGTTTGTTTAGCCAACACTGACGGACTGGCGCCAAATCTTTTCCAGTGATGGATTTGGATATTGCACGGCAGACGCCTGTGATGGAGCAGGATCGCATCATTCACCATATGGCAGTCTTGTTCTGGCAGACTGACACTGGCCAGTTCCCACTGGTGTTGCGAATGCAGCATATTTGGGAACTCGACAGCTGGCAACGGCAACTACACATAACTTTACATGTCTGAGGACAAGTGGCTCGTGTGGCCGTATTTCAACATCACGGTTTTCGATTCTGAAGGAAATGATCATCATCCACTCGCGACGTGCAGGCGCATGCCAAAGCTTCACGGGGCGGCGATGGGATGTGTCATGTGGTGTCCCCTTCGCTTGTCAGATTCACCACATGGTACTGCGCAACATTTCAAGAATTTCGCGTTCGATGCGACGTCGTGGCTCACTGGAGCATCGTTCATCACCGATACGCTCCCCAGTCGATGCGGGACGCCGCTTCCGCGCGACAGAAGGTTTCCTCCGAGAGCGCAGACCTCGGGGCAGGGGCGGAGCTCCAGCCCGTTCAAGAAGAGAGCGAGACTGCCGCGGCTGCAACGTTGGTGCCGCAGAGGTTCGATGAGTGTGCTATTTGTCAGAGCGTGAATTACCTACCCCGCTTTCGCTTCCAGGAAAAACCAAGTCATACCACGCACCTCCTCGTCATGCGGCCTGACCAGTACAGGCCGCAGTTTGGCATCGCTTGGTATCTCTTGGAAGCGAGGGTGGTCAAAAGCGAGGTCGGTTCGTTTTCTCCCTAATTTGGAGGGGCCGCCAAGTCGATGTTGCATGGGGTGGCGCTATTCAGCGTTGTGGGCGATCCTCCGGATTTGTAACGCGCAGCGGAACTTGGTGGGCGACATTATGGCCTCTCTCTTGCGGGGCGCATCTCGCGCGGCGGGAGCAGTTCTTGCCCGGGGGGCTGGCGGGGCAGTGGCGCGCGCAGCTCGTGCGCAACAGAGGCGAGGCGTGATTCATTGGGCAAGGTTTGGCTGGGGACCTCCCTGCGCATGTGTTTCTAGTTGCGCGGAGAAAAAGGGGGAGAAGGGATGGGGTGATGGGGGGGGGGGGAGAGAAAAACAAAACGAGAAACAGAGAGAGAGAGAGAGAGAGAGTGGGACAAACAGAGAGATATAGAAGAAAGACCGGGGATGGGGGGGTGGGGAGGTGGCGGCGAGGAGAGAGAGGGGGGGAGAGAGGGGCCGCAGGCAAAGGAACGGACGACGACGTGGCCTTACCACCCAGGTGCAAATTTGAGTTTTTTTTTTTGGCTCGTTCAGCCGGCGCTGACAGACTGGTGCAAGATCTTTTCCAGCGGTGTATTTGGATATAGCGCGGCGGACGCCTGCGATGGAGCAGGGTCGCATGGAGCAATCGTTGCCGTATCGCAGACTTTTCTCAGACAGACTTACGCCGGCCAGTTCCCAATGGGGATGCGACTGCGTCAGATTTGGAAACCCGATTCCTGGCGACAGCTACGAATGACGTTGCACGATTGAGGACAAGTGGCGCACGTGGGCCGCATCTCAACATCGCGGGTTTTGAGTCAGGAGGGCGTGGTATCAATCCATGCGCGACGTGCAGGCGCATGCCTGAGTTTCACGGGGCGGCGATGGGATTTGTCACGTGGCGTCCCCTTCGTTCGTCAGATACACCGGATGGTGCTGCGCAAAATGTCAAACATTCCAACGCGTTCAAAGAGAACGCGTTCGAGTCGATGTCGTGGCTCACTGGAGCATGCCATTGAGACGTTTCCCGGTCGATGCGGGCCCGAGTTCGGGCGCCCTGCGTGCGACAAGGAAAGCGTCGTGGAGTTTCATCTCAGTCGCAGATTCCGCGTGGCAGAAGGTTTCCGTCGAGAACGCAGACCTTGTGGCAGGGGCGGAGTTCCAGCTCATTCAACATGAGAACGAAGCAGCCGCGGCTGCAATGCCGGTGCCGCAGAGGTTCGATGAGCGCGCTACTTCGAGGGGCCGCCAAGTCGATGTCGGGATGGCGCTATTCAATGTTATGGGCGATCTTCTGTATTCGTAGCGCGCAGTGGGATTTGGTGGGCAACAGTATGGTCTCTCTCTTACGGGGTGCGTCTCGCGCGGCAAGAATTGTTTTTGCCCGGGGTGCTGTGGGGGCAGTGGTGCGCGCAGTTCGCGCGCAACATTGGCGAGGCGTGGTTCATTGGGCAGTAGGTGATGCTATCTTTGGGAACGCGTATGATTCGAAGACGCGTCTTTGGTTGAACAACGGAATATACATTCTAGGGTAATGTTCATGTTTTGAGCCAGAGGAGGTTTTTAGAGGTAGTAGGTTCAGTCGCTATAATCAACGGACGCATCTGTTTAAGCCTTGCACTTGCGTTGATCACGGATCGTTTCAATGTTGCGGACATCGAGGGTATCTTAGGGGTGCGTCCCGTCAGCCTCGTAGTTCTAGGAACTCCGCGCGGCGAGCCGTTATGAGTGGTTCGCCAACGACATGTCGGCGTCGCAATCGCTCTGTTTCTCCACGCCTTTGCGACAGGATTCCAAAGAGTGGCTGCTCGCCACCGAGATCTTCCCCCTCCTCGTTTCATCCGAGGCTGGCTGCTCGCCAGCGCTTCCAAGGTGACTGCTGTCAGCCGCGTTCCCCGCCGCTTCCGCAGTGAAGAAGCTCAACCAGTCTACTTGCTGCACGCTTGTCGGCCGTCGTTAAGACATGAAGCGCCCCGGGTAGGAGGCGGGTGGGGATTGGGAGGGGGAGGGGACGGGGGGGGGCAGGGGAGGAGGGGCGGGGGCATGGAGGGAGAGAGGGGAGGAGCGGGCAGAGGGACTGTCCGCTGGGCGCACAGTGTTCAACGCCGTTTAGCGAGCGCTGGCGGGGGGCCAGATGTCGGCGTATTTTCGAATACGGAACACTTGCGAAATGTTGATTTTTTTGTTCGGGCGTTTTTCTCCGCCCCCTTTCGCCGCTTTCTGCATCCGGATGAGGAAGGACATATTTGACAACGCGCCCATTCATCGCGACGGTTTCTAGTGTTTGGACATCGAGGGCGATATAGTAGGAAAAGGATGAGGACTAGGATGAGGATGAAGATTAGGACGATGATGGTGATGATGGTGATGATGATGATGATGATGATGATGCTGATGCTGATGATGATAATGCTGATGATGATGATGATGATGATGATGATGATGATGATGATGATGATGATGATGATGTTGACGATGATGATGATGATGGTTGTGGTGGTGGTGGTGGTGGTGATGATGATGATGATGATGATTCTGACGATGGTGATGATGACAATGATGACGATGATGCTGATGGTGATGATGATCAGGAGGAGGAGGAGGAGGAGGAGGGGGAGAAATAGGAGGAGGAGGAGGAGGAGGAGGAGGAGGAGGAGGAGGAGGAGGAGGAGGAGGAGAAGAAGAAGAAGAAGAAGGAGGAGGAGGAGGAGGAAGGGGAAGGATGAGGAGAGGGGGAGGAGGAAGAGGGGAAGGAGGAGGATGAGGAGGAGGAGGAGGAGGGGAGGAGGAGGAGGAGGAGGGGGAGGAGGAGGAGGAGGAGGAGGAGGAGGAGGGAGGAGGAGGATGAGGAGGGAGGAGAAGGATGAGGAGGAGGAGGAGGAGGAGGAGGAGGAGGAGGAACAGGAGGGAGGAATCCAGAACAAACGAGGATGGTGATGGTGATGGTGATGATGATGATGATGATGATGACGATGATGGTGATACTCATGTTGATGATGATGATGAAGATGATGAAGATGATGATGATGATGATGATGATGATGATGATGATGATGATGATGATGATGATGATGATGTTTTTGTTTTTGGATGATGATGATGATGATGATGACGATGCTTATGATGATGGTGATGGTGATGGCGATGATGATGACGACGACGACGACGATGATGATGATGATGATGATGATGATGATGATGATGATGATGATGATGATGATGATGATGATGATGAGGAAGATGAGGAAGAGGAGGAAGAGGAGGAGGAGGAGGAGGAGGAGGAGGAGGAGGAGGAGACGGAGGAGGAGAGGAGGAGGAGGAGGAGGAGGAGGAGGAGGAGGAGGAGGTGGAAGAGGGGGGCGGAGGAGGAGGAGGCGGAGGAGGAGGAGGAGGAGGAGGAGGAGGAGGAGGAGGAGGAGGAGGACGGACCATCTACACAGGCAAATACTGTTTTTTTTGGGGGGGGGGCCGCGCAGTGCCGCAGGCCGAACACACGATGGCGGGATGTATAAAGCTGCCCGGAACCTAGAGACATGTACCCTTCAATATAGAGATTTTTGTGTTTTGGGGTTCTCCTCCATCGTCCCTTCTTTTTCGGCGATCGGTGGCTTTGCGAAAAGTTGTGAACGTTCATTGTCCAATGCAACCGACCGAACGTAATGGGCATTTGGCCTAAACTACAAACCGCCCAACAAAGTCGACATCTTGTTGGCGCCAAGGTGGAACAATTGCACGATCTGACCGGCCAGAATGCGCACGCAAGCGCATCATATACAAAATGGTGCAAGGATGGGTGCTCAACTTGTGGACAATTTGATACAAAGCTGATATGATGCTTGCAAATTTCAGGCGCAAGCCGCACATTTTGGTGCGGCACGTGTACCGATTACGTCCGCTTGAAATCCAAAGATTGTTTGAGTTTGAGCAGTAGTACGGTGGCAGCAGTTGGCGATGCAATGGGTGGAGTCAGAAAGAAATGCTTCAATCTATCTGTGCGTTGTGTATCCAACAAGCGCGAGGTGCATGTTAAACATAAGGCTTCTGGTCGTCGTTCTATCGACGCGCCGTCGGCAGCTCCTCAGGGTGGCGGTTCTCCATCGCCAATTTAAGCGCCGCCTGTTACAAAAAGATGGCTGGTAGCTAACGCGCCTTCTGCAATGCAAAGAGCAAGCGTTGCCGAGCAACAACATGAACCGCCTAGGCCGTTCGCCTTTCCGCCGCTTCTGTGGTGCTCATAGTGGCAGCGGTTCTTATGGGCAATGGCAGTTGAGAGGTTGCCAGCCTACGTGGAGGAGCAACATGTGGAGGAGGGGAATGAGAAAACCACCCGTGGAGGAAGTTCTGACCGGGACAGCATGGTTTCTATTGTATTCCGCCGCGCGCGGATTTTTTGGTAACGCGCCACAGAGGGGCATCTTTTCGTATTCCTCCACAAAAGGGATCCGATTGTAACGCGTCACAAAAGGAGCCTTTGGTATGCCGCTACAAAAAGTCCTTTGGTGTTGCATCGCCAAGGGAATTTGTATTTGCCACAAAAGGATATGTTTCCAATCTGCCACGACAGGAATCCGATTGGAATTGGTCGGATGGCTGGAACACATCTGCGTTTTTTGTGGCATCCTTTTTTATGTGATATTTTATAATTACAATACAAGTTTTGCTTGTGCCCGCGCAGCCGCTCGGTTTTTAAGTGCAGGTGTTTTCTCATGCGCCGGCGCAAGTACCACAGCTTTCGAAACGATTTCCAAGTATGTCTAATATCTTGTCTTGTTGTGTTTTATGCTATCAAATATGTGTTCCAGTTTGCCTTTGCAGCTAGTGCTAGTTTTCGTTTTTTTTGTTTGTTTTTTGTTCCCATGATTTGGGCATCCGTAAAATAGCATGATAGTCGTGCTCTTGTCGCGGCGGAAGAAATCAGGAATTCATTCCTTTCGTGGCGGCGTGCAACATAATCATTCCCTGTGGAGAAGTACAACGACTTTCTTTTTGTGGCGGGCGGAATACGCAGCGATATCTTGTGTGATTGAATGCAAACGAATTCCTGTTATTGTGGCGGAGTATGAACATATTGTTATTGCGGTGGAATGCACAAGGGTTCCATCTGTAAGGTGTACAACAAGTTTCTCTTGTGACGCACTGCAACCAGTATCTGTTTGTTGTGGAATGCAACAAGTTTTTCTTCTGCACAAGAAGTACACAGGGAGGTTCTCAACTAGACCGCAAGGTTTGATTGGGGGTTTCTATGGAAAAGAAGACTGATGGGAGTGTTGCCAGAGGCCTGGCCATGCGTCGTGAACAGGAAACGATCCGCAACGAAAGCGTGGCCTTGCGATGGCGTCGGGAGCTCCGGGGCTCATGCCGTGAAGCAGTCAAGACTTCGGGGATAATTTTGGTGTGCTTCGGCTGGGGTCGGGCGTGTTTTTGGAGGCACCCCAATCGAGCTGAAGTGGGTGCCGCTCGCCCCAGTGGCTGGGTCGGGTCTGGGACGCTGGTTAAACGTTAGGGCAGCGCCCAGAGGCTCTCTTGAGTGGCCCGTTCCAAGCAGGCAGGGTATAATCCCGTGCGACACCCCGGCCTCTGCGCTTACTGTTTGTTTTTTCTTTGGTTATGGTTCGGGCCCAGGGTTCATCTTTGTCTGTCACGTCTTTGGCCGTAGACCCGTGATGTGTAAAGCAGGAGGCGTCGGATTCTTCATGCGTGAGTACGTGTGCGGAAGGAGTGGAAACGGCAAACATGCGCTCGGCCTTCAGGCGCGTGTTTTCACATGTGTTGGCGCCAGGGGGGCTATCATCCTTATGTTGGTACTGGCTGAAGTATCGGATGAGCTCTAGCTCCGAATCAGCTCATAAGTATCGCGGTCTACCGTCCTGGAGAGGAGAGGGACGAATGTGAAGTTAGGAGCAGTGCTTGATGATCCAGGAAAGGCGTCGCAACGATTGGTTCTGTCCTGCGAGTGTTACCACCAGCCGCGTGTGGACCTGGTTCTCGAGTTGCCGCTGAATTTCAGCGGCCAGTTGTCAGCAACGTCGTTATCGTTTTCGCAGCAGAAGCTGTAAAAATGAAGAAGATGCTGTTGACAAGAAAGAAGCAACGCCTCTTACCAATACTATTGTCAGGGAGCTTCCAATATGCGACATCGATTGTGCCAGTGTTGGAGTCTATCCTCCAGACTTAGACGCCACGCATGCGCGCGCGCCAGCGCACAAATGTCCGAGGCAGAATCGATTTTGGAGGTAGTCAGTTTCTGTGTGCGCCACAGAGAGAGAGAGAGAGAGAGAGAGAGAGAGAGAGCGGCGTGGGAGTCAGTCGGCTGGTCGCAGGCAGCAGGTCCTGGAGACGTCAGCGACGCTCCGCTGACGAAGCGGCCCAGGTCCTCCGATGCGTGCTCGTGGAGGCGGCCAGGCTGACTCAACAGGCGTCAGTGGCCAACGCTTGGATAGCCTGCGCCGGGAGGACCGCTTGCCAGCTCATGGGCAGGGCGCTCGCGCGCTGCGGTGCTTGGCCGCCGTCCGGAATCCACGAGGCAAGCGCGACGCTGAGCTCACATTCCCCAATCAGAGCTTGCCTCTGTAGGGGTCCTAGCGGATTAAAGGATTAGGTGAGAGGTGCGGCCGATTTCGGTGGCCGGGCCCGGGTGCCCGGGGGTGCCCGGGTGCCCGGGTGCCCGGTGTGCGGCCGATTTCGGTGGCCGGGCCCGGGTGCCAGGGGGTGCCCGGGTGCCCGGGGGTGCCCTATAGCCGTATAGCCCAATAGCCCAGTAGCCCAGTAGCCCTATAGCCCTATAGCCCGATAGCCTTATAGCCCGATAGCCCTATAGCCCCATAGCCCTATAGCCCTATAGCCCGATAGCCCGATAGCCCTATAGCCTATAGCCTCATAACCTTATAGCTTTATAGCCCTGCAGCCCCATAAGCCCAACAAAAATCTGATTGGGTTTTTTCTCCGGTGTCATATTTTTCCAATTCTGTTCAGCAGTGGTCACCAGTGAAGGACCCAGTCTGGCGCACAAGAGCCCCCCGGGAATCCGAGGCGCTTGGCCCCCTCGCGGAGCGCCCTCCCCCTGGCGGTGCGCGCGGAGGGGGCGGACGCGACGGGGGCGGCCTCCCGAGCTTGCCCTCCCCCCCCTCCCGTCGGAAAAACTGCGGGGGGGCCTCCTTGGACAGGAAACGCCTCGGGGGGGTGCTCCGCTCTTCGGTTTGGCTCACCGCTGGTCCTCCCCCTCGACTACGCGTAAGAGTGACGCTTCACCGGAGTGACCTTCGGTGCGGGCCCACTTGGGCCCCCCAATCGCTGAATCCGATGCGATAGCGGCGACCTGCGCGCTTGGGTTTGGCCCCCTCGCGCCCCCCCCCAGACGGCGCGCACAAGAGGTCGTTCTTGCCTGGAGTCACTCCTACGTGCAGCCGACCCTCCGGCTGTTCCGCTGCCCAGGCACGAGGCTCGGCGGAGGAGCCCCTCGCGGCGATAGCGGTGCAGCACCGGCGGCTGGAGCTGCTGCCCTTCCTCGTGGCTTGCGGCGGGGAGGGCTCGCTGGACAGCCGCAACCGGACCGCACAGCTGCAGCTCCCTCCTGTCTGGGCCTCTGGAGGCTCGGTGCTCTCGGGCCTCGGGTCTCGGGGCCCTGGCCCTCTCGGCCCCTTGCCTGTGGCCGGTTGCTTTTTGACGGTCCCTGGGCCCGAAAACGGTACCTCAGAGGAGGAAGGGGTGCCCATGCCGCTGCCCTGCGCCCGTTTTCCCCCTTGTCGGCCTGCTGGGAGGCTCTTGTCGCCACCGCTGGATTCGCCTTTGAAATCGTGGTCAGGACGCACCCTTGGAAAGGTCCGTGGAGTAGTGGTATTGGTACCTTTTGGTTTCCCCAATTTCTGGAGGCCCACAAGCTAGAAACACATCGGACTCCATATTTCCCGAGCCTCTGGAGGTATGATCATTTTCTTCTTTGGGTTTCAAGGCGCCTGCAGGCGTGCGCCGCCGCGCGTACGGGGCGTAGCTGACCAGACGATGAATCGATATGCCGTTCTTTTGACGTCGGTAACCCAACGACTCACGGATTACACGTCTCTCGCCAGAGCCCGCTGGAGCCTATCAGAGGACCTTGGGCTGTTCAGTAGATGTTCTTTGTAATGGGGGGAATAACGACAACGTGACGGTTGGCATAAGCAAGCGTTTCGGGAGTCCGCGCGGACCTCCGAACATCTCCATGCTTGTGTCGACTGCTCCTCCATGGCTTCGTTCTAGCTTCTGGCCCTTCTGATTTTCCTCCTTCTGCATAACGGGTGCGCCGTTCCGATGGGGGTCCCGTGCGCGGGCCGCACGGCCCGCCCCGAGCTGGGCCGTCCCCCGCCGCCGCCGACTGCGACGGCGGCGGCGGCGGCGGCGGCACTGTCGACGGCGGCGGCGGACGGCGGCGACGGCGCCGGCGCCAGCGGCGAGGCGGCGGTCGGCGGCGGCGGCGTCGACGGCGACGGAAGCGGCGGCGGCGGCGGCACGCGCCAGGAGCGGCTGCTCCGCCGCGCACTGGGCGGCCCACGCGGGGGACGCGGAGGCGCTGAGGCTGCTGGCGACGCTGCGCGCGGACCTGCAGGCCCCGCCCGCCGAGCGTCGGGGGTCGAGGAGGGGGGCGCCAGGAATCGGGGGGGGAGAGGATGCCCCGTCACCCTTCCGTCGTCGCCACGGCTGGGTTCGCCACGGAGTGCTGACCAGAGCGCGCTCCAAGGAGAGGTCCGTGGAGTGCCAGTGTGGGTATCTGTTTGTTCCCCCCAGGGGAGCTGGATACACGTGACGCGGCCGGCCTGGGCAAGGGCTGGGTGCACTCTCGTGAGCGACGCACAGGGAACGGGGGCGACTGCGTGGACACTGGCGCGCAAGCTCCCCGCGTAAGGCCGCGGATGAGCGCCCTTGTCTCCAGTGTAGCGTGCCGCGCTGGCGGCCGTAAGCTACCGCGTAAGGTCAATATGCCGTCTTGCGTAAGACGGCATCACCCATACATACGAATACTATCGAAGACGCCTACGGCGAATCATCGCCGCCCCCTGCGTTTTGGAATCGCACATGTGGCCGAACGTCGTGGCCAGAGCTCTGCCAAGTCGGACCATGTGTTCCCCAGCCGTTGTGGAAACCCTTCGGGGAACAGGCGGGGGAGGAGAGACATAGAGAGGAGAAGGAGGAGGAGGAGGAGGAAGAGGAGGAGGATGAGGAGGAGGAGGCCTCTTGGGAGCCTCTTGGGACGGCCTCCTTGGAGTTTCCTGGGAGCCTCTTGGAGGCCTGAACCGATTTGGGGCCCTCTTGGGGCGCTTCAGGGCCGTCTTTGAGTCCATGTTGAGCGTCTCGGAGACCTCTTGGGCCGTCTTGGTGCCCTCTTGAGGCCGTATTGGAGGCCTCTTGGGCCGTCATGGGGTCATCTTGGAGGCCTTTAGGGCCTTCTTGGGGCGACCTTCGGGGCCTCTTGGGCCGTCTGGGGCCGTCGGAAGGTCGACAAGGAGCAAACGCCAACATTCTTCAACGACCTAAGGACAATCAATGATTTTGGCCGCTTCGGGCCCTCCTGCAGGAGGACCTTTTGAAGGCCTCTTGGGCCGTCTTGGAGGCCTCTTGGAGGCCTGAGGGGCCGTCTTGGGCCGTCTCAGAGGCTTCTTGGGCGAACTTGGAGGCATCTTGGACTCTCTTGGGCCGTCTTGGAGGCCATCTTGGACCCTCTTGGGCGAAAATGGAGGCCATCTCGACCGTCTTGGAAGCCATCTTGGAGTCATCTGGAGCAAGAAAAACCTTTGCAGCTGGGTCGAACGCAGCCTTTCGGGTGGCAGGCGCGCTGGACCGAAACCCCAGGGGGAGTTCTTTTGGAAAAGAACCAATTCCAAGCCGTAGGATCTAGCACGCTAGGGACCCCTGTGATGAATTAACAGGGGGCACCCTCGGTTTACCCTGGTCCTCTTCTTCCAGCTCCTTCTCTTTCTCTCTCGCTGTATTTCTTCCCTGCCAAGCCTCTGACGTGATATTCTTTAGTGGCGCAGGTCCGTGGGGCTGTCGACCGCATCCCTAAGGCCATTTTCTCGTCGCGGATCGTTTTCTGCGGCCAAACCAGGGTGCGAAAACAATTTCAAGGCAGGTGCAGCAGAAGGGCCGAGCCGTCATTTTGGCGCGACGTTGGAGCTCAGGGCTTCCTCTCCGCAGAAAGCCCCCGCACACCACCATCCTGCCTGGGACCACTGCGTCCTGCGTGGATCAGCATTGCTTGACCGATCCCCACCCCGCTGGGCCATGGTATATCAGCCCCGCCAGCCCACCCCCCATGGTGGGTACGGGCCCCGCGAAACCCGAAAAGAGCAGCACATATCCCCATCCAGGGGGGTAGACCTTGCCAGCGGGGATGGGGACATGTTGAACACTGCTCAGTGGAGCGCTTGAGCTTGCTCGAGCAGCGGCTGCGCCTGGCCTCACTTTCTCCCGTCAGAGCACCTTCGACGTGCACAGCGTGCTTGCTTGCCGACCCTCCCTGCCTCGGCCTGGCGGACGCGTACGCGTCATCCTTGGGCCCAGGATGGCCGCCGCCAGGCATTGTCGGGGGCCCCCAAGCGGGGCGGTGACCACACCGTGTGGTGAGCCAGTGGGGATTCGGGGTGACCGCACGTTGTTGGGACTTGGCTCGTTCTCCGAGGACGTTTCGGGCCCTTGGGTCTCCAGGGTCACAACACCGTGCGGTGACGGACCGTGCGGTGAGGTCTCCAGGGATTTCGAGGTCACCGCGCGGTCTGTCACCGCACCGTCTCGGGACCCTCAAGATGGTGGCGGTGTAAACCCAGACGTCCTGATTTTTGCTGGGCGCGGTCCCCGTAAGTCCCGACCATTTCTCCAGGGTCGGTTTTTCATACCGAGTTGTGTTTTGACAGTTCCAGGGCCCGGGTCCCGCAAAGGCCGAAAATTGGGAAACATTTCCGTTCTGATTTTTTCAGGGCGTTGCACGCTTGGGTGGGTGCCTTCGGCGAATCCTCGTCGTACCTTCCGTCGGCCGGCCTGCGCCCAGAGGCTCGCGACCTGTCTGGGCGCTCCCCGGTGCACTGCGCCGTCATCGGCGAAGGCCGGGCGGGGCCCCCTCTCGGCGACTGCGCGCCGCGTGTCGTCGGCGGTGTTTTTCGTACAGGATTTGTGTGTCCGCCGCCTGGGGAGCCGATGTCCCAGGGCCCCATGTGCCAGCGAATGCTGCTATTCTCGAATCTGAGGGGGGGTGGGGGGCAGAGATGTTCGTATGCAGTGCTCCCTGGGGTCGTGCGACATCGGTTCCCCAGGCGGTGGATATAGATTACACCAGAGAAAATGCCGATCAGTGGGTGATTTGGAAGTTAGTTATACGGATGTTGAGATCGATAGTGAGATCGATCGTGAGATCGATAGTGGGATCGATAGTGAGAACGATAGGAAGGACGATCGTGAGACCGATAGTGAAGTCGATTCAGTGCGATCGATAGTAATATCGATCGTGAATTCGCTCTTGCGATCTACAGTGAGATCGATTGTGAGATCGATAGTGGGATCGATTGTGAGATCGATAGTGAGATCGATTGTGAGATCGATAGTGAGATTGATAGAGAGGTGGGTAATGAGATCGATGGTGAGACTGATCGAAAAGGAGGTCGACCAGGAGCCAGGTAACCTGGAAAGCCGGGAACCCTGCCGCCCACCGAAATTGGCCCGGAATCAGCATCCAGGAACCAGTGAACCCAGAACCGGGAACCTGGAAACCCAGCCGCCCACCGGAATCGGCCGGGCACTTTCGCCAAATATTTCAACATCCGCTAGGACCCATGCAGTGCAAGCACTTCTGGGGAAATATGTAGGCAATCTGGCTTCGGAGGTGCGTAGACCCAGACTCTGGCATTTCTTGAATTCTCATTTTTGGAAAATGTTAGTCAGTGTGGGCCCCACACAGTTAGTTCTTGCGATCTATGCGGTGGCGGTGTAGTCTAGCTAGTGCAGTCCATGTGGTGTAATCTATTTGGTGCCAAGCAATGCAAAGCAAAGCAGTGCAATGCAAAGCAATGTAATGCGATACAGCAATGCAAATCGATGCCCTGCGGCGACGGCGGCGACGGGCGGCGATTGGCGACGACGAGCCGGCCGGACCTGCACCAGTGCCCAGCGGCGACGGCGGCGACGGGTGGCAACGAGCCGGCCGGACCAGCACCGGAGCTCAGTTACCTTAGAACCGAAGTAAGAATCTTCAAGTGCAAGCACTGCTTGGGGAGTCATCTCTCTTGCCCCCCCCCCCCCCGACGGGCGAGCACAGATGGGGCTTTTGTTGTTAGTGCGGTGCCTCGACCTCCCAGGGGGAAATACTTGGAGTTCCTGTGCAAGATCGTCCCCGTGGTGCCGCTACCCATGCCAAGGGGGCGGACGGCGTCACGGTGTGTGGCGCTCTTGGTCATCGTTCCTCCCCACTTCTGGATGCGCTTCCTGCGGCCCGCCAAGGGGGCCCGCAAGCGCTCAGCCTCCTCGTCGACCGGCACGCGGACCTGGCGTCGTGCGACTCCGAGGGCCTCGATTGCTTCGCCCTCGCCAGGCAGGGACCCGCCGCATCGCCTCGTGGGGAGTACGATCAGCGTCACCCCACCATCCTAACATTATGTGTGCGTCACCCCCCCCAGGGGCGACGCGCGCACCGAGAAATCTTGTAGTATATGCGTCGTGGCGGGCTCTTCTTGGCCCAAACCGCCCGGGAAACGATACACCACAAGATGGGTGTACTATATGTTCGGGTCGGACGCACGCCTCCAAGGAGGAAACATAGTACTAGTATGTCCTTGTGCGTCCCATGCGATGATGATGCAAGGTCAGGTCAGGTCAGGACGCTTCAAGCCCAGAACGTGCCACGAGCACTACTCTGTGTCCCTCAATAGTTCTGGGGTACCTGTAGTCCAGGGTGGGTACCTGTAGTCCGGGGGGGGGGTACCAATAGTCCAGGGGGGGGTACCTGTAGTCTGGGGAAGGGGTACCTGTAGTCCGGGGGGGTACCTGTAGCGTCGGAGAGGATTTGTAGCGCCTAACGGGGGTCCTGTAGCTTCGGAGAGGATTTGTAGCGCCTAACGGGGGTACCTGTAGTCCAGGGGGGGGTACCTGTAGTCTGGGGAGGGGTACTTGTAGTCCGGGGGCGTACCTGTAGTCCGGGGGGGGGGTACCTGTAGTCCGGGGGGGTGTACAGAAGGGGTGCCTAGTCCAGGGGGTACCAGTAGTCCGGGGACCCAGAACTATGAGGGACACAGAGTACACATCTCCTCCCTGCGACGTGGCAGATGGACGCACGGGGTGCGCTTCCTGGAAGTGGCAAGGACCCAGAAGAGGAGGAAAAGGAGGAGGAGGAGGGCCAGAGTGACCCCCAGGTGTGTCCGCGGTGCTGCAATGCACCCTCCCGTCCTAAGAGTCCCCTCCGCACGGGTTCCCGCAACCTCTCCCTTTATCGCGGCGGGAGGAGGGGCGCCTCATGGGCCTGCCCTTCCGGCGAGAGCCCCGTCACGGAGAGGAAACGCCTTGCGCGTTCTCGGGGAAGCGAGAAAGGGTCTGATCGTGTAGTTCGGCGAGGTGCCCAAGGAGATCCCCTGCTTTGGAGAAGGACGCTGCCCTTGGGGTCGACTGTGCTGCGTTTGCCTTCGGTCTGGAGCCGAGGTCCTCGCCAGAATGGCACGGACATTCCCTCTGGGGAACGTTGGGCTGAAGTCTTCCAGAGGCTCGAAGATCGGGGCTCGAATGTTGTCTCTATTTTGAAGTCCCCGCCCACAAGTCGAGGTGGGCTGCGGAGGCTTTGGGCTGCCCCAGCTGGGCGTGGCGCGGCAATAGAGCAGTGGATTTCTTGAGCAAGCAAGCCGCCAGTCAGGTGCCGCATCCGGAGCATCTACAGAGGCTGGAGGCCAAGAGGGCTGAGCAGCCCTCCGCCCTGGCCATGTACACTGCCAGATTGCTCGGGCATTGCTCCAGGAATAGTGTCCCAGATGTTGATTTTGTCAGGGCTAGGGCCAAACCCAGGCCTTCGGGTCTTGTCATAGTGCCGAGCCTGAACGGTCTCGAGGTTCTGCAATGTGGGAATGGTTTT